AGGATGCCTGCATTTGTTACACTATATATATATATATATATCTAAACATTTACAACATTTATATCTTCAATATACTTACAAAGTCTTCAAAGATTTCAGTGGAAAGTGAATGGATATAATGGGAGAGTTTGATTGCCCTGTCAAAAAGATCACTGAGTAGGACCTGGCATTGGAGGCTCCCTGGGGTGCAGATTGAGTTTGACATGACCATCCTCCTCACCAAAACCAAATTAGAGACTAGAAGTGCAAACAACAGCTTTCCTATAGCAAACAAAACAACAAAGCTTCCATTAATAATGTATTCTATAGAGCAAGGACCCAATAGAACATAAAACTGTTGTTACCACTGTTCCCATTCAATTGCCTGGTAACACAATGTTCACTTAATAAACACACCAGTGGAAGGTTTCCACCTTAGTGTTTAAAAGTGGAATACCACTTTAAAGGGGCCTGAAAATAGAAGTGTAAACCAACTTCTGTAAACACATTTTCATCATTATTCACAGATAAATATTGTATTACACATTTTATCAGAAGATATCTGAGTAATTGTTGAAATTATAGAATAAGAAGTTGCAAAGTGAAAGTAAATACAGTATATTACCTAGTATTGCTTCTCTACTAGTATTGTTTATTTTACACAAACAGAAAGATCAGTCCACTCAAACTTGATGTTTCAATTACAAAAGGATACTGGTAGGTTCCCTTTTGGGAAGTGAGATCCCCTTGTTATAGTTCCTGGCTATGTTTTTTCTCACCTTGGAATCCTATTCCTAAGACAATTGGGCATTTCTAGATGTCAACATTTCTTCTGCTGCCCTCTCCATAACATAGCAGAAACTGAGCTACAGTAATTTAACAGGGAAAGGGGAATTTCAAGAAAAATACAGCAAGTTCAGTTGCCTTGACTTATTTTTTACAGATATACCATGACCTGGATGAATGAGAACCTTCACAGACAACTTCCACATAGTTACTATAGCAAGCATCAGAAATCTCACCAACCAAATTCCTGAGAAACATTAGACACTGTAGGAATATTAAAAAAAAAAAAAAAACAGCAACATTTTTTTTTATTCTGGATACAATGGTATGTTCATTGGGGGTGGTGGGAAGGGGGTTCTCAGAGACACAACAGTGGGGAGAAATTTCACCTTTGTCAACTCACTTTCTGTTCTATTGTGCATAGGCACAGGGCAAATATGGTAAATCTCCCAAATGGGGACACGGACTGCAATCAAAACCTGATCTAACGCTTCCCTACTCTTTCCAAAACTAAAAAAGGTTAAGCTTTACATACACTTCCACTTATTATTATAAGGATTTATATTCGTATTGACTCACATGTACATCAAAGATGACACATGGGCCTCACTTTTCTACCTAAAACTGATGTGAGGGATGATCATATACAACTGTCCCCACAGATAATATTGTATTTCCTGGTCAAACTGCAATACCATATTTAACTAATTTTGCCACTTTACACATCACTGGTTCGGCCTCACCTGGAGTATGCGGTGCAGTTTTGGGCACCGGTACACAGAGGGGATGTCCTTGAACTGGAGAAAGTCCAGCGAAGGGCAACCAAACTCATCAAAGGGATGGAGGACCAGAGCTATGAGACACGGTTACTAAATTTAAATATGTTCACACTGGAACTAAGGAGATTAAGGGGGGACATGATTTTCATGTACAAAATGTTCCATAGTCAAAGCAACATTAGCAACAAACTCTTACGATTAATTCCGTAACAAAGACTAGAGGCCACCACCTGAAACTGGTAGAAAAAAAATTCAAACACAAGGGGCGGAGGGGGTTCTTCTCAGTTCGCGCGGTTAGGGTCTGGAACTCGTTGCCACAAGCAGTGATTTCAGCTAATAGTGTGGAATCGTTCAAGAAGCTTTTGGACGATTTCCTGAGAAACGGTAATATACAGGGGTACAAGTACTCCTAAAAACGAAATGACTCGGGGATCTTTACACACACACACACACAATAGGTTGGACTTGATGGACATGTGTCTTTATTCAACCTCAAATACTATGTAACTATATGTAACTATGTAACTATGACACATTGGGGGGAATTCATCATGGCAATTTGTGACAGTTTTAGTCTCCTAGATAATTTCTTTATGTGCAAATCTGTCTTTTAACATGTGCACCTGTTTTGACCAGAGCTTGCACTACGTTTCCAATTGCACATGTTTTGCGCCTGTTTGTATCTGCATTTGTTCTGTCGCTGTCTGAAACTGGAGCATCACCTAACAAAACAATCACAACTTAAGAAGTCCCCATGACCACTTCTTCAAGAAGCGACAGTTAAGCTTTTTGCCTGGAGTTACGAGTCTTCTTACTGGAGTCTATTTAACCTCATTTATAAACAACATTACACCAGCAAAATAAATCTGGTGCCAAGTGCGTCAAATATATTCTGTGTAAGTTCAAACAATGGAAATTGCTATGCTAAATTCCCCCCATTGTATTTTCAGTGTCATCTGTATCTGCATACCTCTGTTCTATGAAAACCCAGAAAACTTTGAATGTTAGCGTGAGAGGGACAAGAAGATTCCCAAGCAGGGATTTTGGTTTTAACAAAAATACTTTTTTTGGTGTCTTTTTTCCCCAAAAACCTGGCATTATTAAGACATGAATAACTCTCAAATATATGCTCATACCTGTAAATGAGGTTTTTCTGGAGGCA